TTTTTTTCTTTTTTGTACTTTTTTTATACAAAGCCTAAGAAAAAATACACCTGGAAAACTATTGCGTGCCAAATGAACTTTTCTCTCAAAGTTTACACTGCTGGCAAATGTAGATAAGGATTAAAATTTAAAAACTAACTAATACAACTAAAGTAAAATCTGTGGAAAATTAACAATAAAATACTTTTTTCGCAAAATTTATAAAGGACCCTTTTATTTCTCAAAAAAAACTGGGTAACAGTTATTCGTCGCCACGCTGTAAACTACAAATTTAATTTTGCCATAAAAAATTACATAATTTACAAAATAATAATTTAAATCATTTAAATTTTAATACAATTTGCGAAATGAGCCTTAATTTCAACGCTAGCAATAGCTCCGATGAGTCGCATATCCCAGCCGCTCGGGAATGTAATCGTAAGTATAACTAGTATTTAATCATTAATATTCAACAACTCTTCTTTCTTCCCTTCTTTTGTCGGTTTCAGCTAACCAACCACCTCTAAAAAGAAAGCGTTTTTTCACAAAAAACGATTTCAATAATGCAATCGAAAATAAACAGAGTACGAGTACCAGTGCAAATATCTCAAATGAGGGTAATTTATTACAAAAATTTTAACTGAATACAATTTTTTACTAAATTTATATAAACTTTTGTTTCAGAAATTATGGAAACCTTGAAAGTGGTCCTAAAAACCCAAAATGAATTGATAGAAGGCATAAATAAAATTAACCATAATGTAAGATATTTACTTTCCAACATGTGCAGTAGCCAAAACATTTTTAAGCAAAGCAAGAAGTCCGTTAAAAAAAGAGTACATGTATAATTTTCATTGTCCTTTTACATAAGCAAACCACCATTGTTCAAAACCAAATCCAAATCTACGAGGTATTGGAACAGGTTCAGCAAAACGTATGTCGTATTTTAAATCAGTATTATAAAAATTTATATATCGATGGTCCTCTACAATAACGACACAATTCAAAAAATAAAAACTGTTACTACTGTTAAGTGGCTCGAGTCTGAATTCGCTTTGGGACCATCGATGTGTATGTATTTAAAAAAAAAAATAAATAAATATATTTTGTTCAGGCCGTTAATAAAAGTGAAATGGAAGCGCAAAATATGATGTTACGAGAATGCAAGGTGGTAGCAAAGAAGATTGAGAGGTCGGTTTGTCGAATGACTGGAGAAATTTCTGACAAAAATTTAGATGACATCGCCAGTTCTCTGCCACTGCAGTCCGATTGCGCTGTGGATTTAATGGAAACCAAGTTACGAGATCCAGAGTATGCACAAGCCATGGTAAAGAATTATATGATGGAATGCTTATTTTACATACTAATTGCTGTACATATATTTTCAAAAGGCCACATATATCACAAAATTAAAAGGTGTGTCTGAGGACGTAGGCAGCAATTCAACTGGGACGGAAGATGGGAGAGAAAACCACTGAACAAACTCATACTGGTTGACACAATCTTACGAGGTAATTACGTTCTGACCATTTATTTTTTATTTTTAGTTAGTTGTATTTACGCACCTATATAAAAACATTTCTAACCCACTTTGTCAAAAATTATCAAAAAACAACGCAAGGTTTTAGCCGCTTAAAACTTGCACAATATTATGCTGACGTTGAATGCGCTGTAAATCTGCATACCCGAATTTGTTTCTAGAGAACGTGATTTAAAAGTTATAAATTTTGATTTGGAAATTTTTGAATTTTGGAAATTTTGCGATTTTTAATGAAACTTTGAGTTGCAGGGTTTTCGTTTTGGTATAAAATATATCTNTGGAAATTTTTGAATTTTGGAAATTTTGCGATTTTTAATGAAACTTTGAGTTGCAGGGTTTTC